GGGGAGAAGCCAGCGAGCACCCCGTGGGGACACCCTCCCCAGCGCCGCGCACGGGGCACGGCACAGCGCGGCCAGCCGGGCACTACAGCTTTAAGAGCCAAATCCGTTCGTGTTTCATACAACAGGAGCTTTCTGATAAAGACATACAGAAAGTCAGCACCTGCCTGCTGCTCCGTCAGGCTGCCCGCGAGGGAAGAGTTCCCTTTTTGCTCTCGTATCATTCAAAACGTACTTGGAAAATACGCTATTAGAGGGGGCCACTAACACCACACCGAAGACTCAAGGCTGCTTTTCTCTAGCTTCAGAGCAGTCTCAGGACACCCCTGCACTAACTGCACGTGATTTAAAATTTCTATATGACATTTCAAGTCCAAATAAACTATTTTCTGCTGCTACAATTGGTTAAAAGACCCATAAAGCAGATTGATATTTATTAATAAAACTTGATTCCCTGAACCTTTAGGAACACTGTCAAAGGTGTGAGTATCATTTAGGTACCTGAATTTCACCTTTACCTTGCTTTTCTCTTGCTTACCCTCTCACACCCATCTGTTCTCCTGTTTTAGAGCCCTGGTGGCTTGTCTCCCACAGTGCTGCAGCTGGTGCTTTCACAGCACTGAAAAGGAAGGCTTGAAACGAACAAGAATGGTCATGATCCTGAGGGGCTGGAGCTGGGTCTGCTGTGAAACTTACTTGGTTTGGTAACAACCAAACCCAACTCTACACATGGAACTGCGGGACCAATCGGCCTGCTTTGTATCACACCTCCTGCACCAGTAGTTTGATGTAAGATACTACCTGAAAAGTCTTTACCATACAGCTGAGCTAAAACCAGACGGCATGTGCTACCTGAGCACCAACAAGGCAGAGGATCAGGTGGTTTACACTTTGGTTGCCATCACAGCTTTCATGTATTTCAGAGCAAGTTTCCTTTCTTACCAGTGCATACTCAAAACGTGCTGTCACCAGCAGCACCTGACAGCTTTATCCCTGTGCCCTCGTGGGACACAGAGGTGAAATATTACCATGTTACTCACAAGCCTCAGTTCTGTATTGCAGCACACACCTAAATACTTTCATTGAACAGCCCCACCTTTCTAAATTGAAACCTTGGTCTGGAAGACAAACATTCTCCAAATAGTGTTCAGTAATGTCAGTGCTGGGCACCTAAATCACGCTTTGTAGGGTCTAAATGTAAGCACTGCGTAAGCAACATGACAAACTCATTTCAGGCCTCATTCCAACCTCAGCACCCGGTCTAGGAAGGAAAAGCCCTTTCTTTTTTCTGTGGGTTTAATGTAGATCTTTCACTAACTCCCCCAAGAACATTAACAGCCTTTTGATTGAGGCAATGCTGGTATAGCATAGCCTTTATCCTCATGTTTTCTTCTCATTTTTACTTCTCTGTAACTGAAGTTAGTTGAACTCAAGCCAGACACAATATTTTGTCTGTCACAACAAATCATGTTGCAGAGAAGAGAAGGCCATTAAAAGGAAAGGACATTAGTGGGTAAGGCTATTCAAAGGTAAGCCTTCTCGTCCCTTCCTCTCTGCAAAACTTCTCAAAAGAATATAAACTAAAACAAGCAAAACTTTATATCATAAAGTTGTCTGTAATTAGAAAAAAAGCTTGCAAAAAGAGCCACATTTAACGTGGAACACCTCATTTTCAAACTATTTTTAGGTTTTCATAATGGAATAATTAGCAAAAATGTTGCTAAAGCAAGCAAAATCAGTTCTAAGCACCTGGCTGCTTAGCTAAGTAATAGAATCTTAAAGCCACTTCTCTACTGGCCTGTTCCAGGTTGCTTATAACCAGTGCACACAGCATGCTCCGACTCGAGCCTCAAATGTTGACAAGTCATAGTTGTGGAATTCAGCCCTAGTGTATCATTCCAGGAAGGACTGACAGTAAAATGTGCTCATTAACGCGGTCGGTGTAAGGGAAATCACCAAAACTTGCTACATTCTAAAATGTTCTTAAGCATCTGGGGCCAGATTCTTTTCGACCAGTGGCGGGAGAAGTGCCCTCTGATTAGACCGGTGCTTTGGTTTCATGTTTCCCAGGTACAGGTGGAGAGCATAAGAAAATCAGCCTCATGACTTTGTGTTAGAAAATAAGAGTAGTGAGGTAATGGAAGAGAAGATAAAATGGTCAAAAACAACCTGCAAAAGCAGAAATGCTCCGTTTGCTCAGCACTAACCATGGGCTCACTAATCAGCATTCAAAGGGTTCTGTTACAAGGACTGACAACAAAAGCAATGCTTCTAGAGCGGAGCAGCCACAAGCTCCTGAGATCTTTAGTCCAGTTCCATAAGGTGTTCACCATGTCCCCAGGGTGAGGGTACTGCGCCCATCACAGGAGGATGCCCACACATGCTCACAGCTCTACCGAAGCAGCATTCTCACTACCGCCTGCCTCAACGTGTCACTTCAATCCAAAGGGTACTATTAAGACAGTTACAATGGAAGCTTTTCTCTCTCATTACCTAATTCTGCCATGGACACAGTTGGAGAGGTCTCCCCATTTGTAAAAGAACAATACGGGAAGAAGCCCGATGCTGGTGTGTAGTCACATAATGGTTCTGGTTTGATTCCATTAATATCAAGACCCGACTGATCTGGAGAAGGCTGTATGTCTAAGTAGAAGCTGCTAACTGCAGAGTCTGCTTTGCTACCTTCAGGGGTATGCCCATCAATGTAATTACTGAGGTCATCATGTAGCTCTGTTAACCCATTGGTGGTGATATTGTATGTTGGTGTTAGTGGTTCTGCCTCTCCTGGTTGCTGCTGGTGATCTCGCTGCTGCTGCTGCATTCGATGCTTCTGCACCTCCGCATACAGGCTGTCCCTCTGCTTTTTTGACATTCGACCAAACTTTACAGCTGAAACACAGACACACAACACGTTACATTGCTACAGATCCACTGCTGCATTTTCATTGTCTTGGGGCTTTAAATATTACGCGGAAGGAGGCAGTATAAAAGGCAAATCAGCCGAATGGGCAGACCCAAGAACCACTGCTGTCAGTTACAGGTAATGTAGCTGCAGCATCTAGTCATTTAAAGACCATCATAACGTGCTACTTAAATGGACCATTAGAAGTCACTGGTTTAGAGTAACTCACTAACTTCCCACTTCTATACGAGAAAGATTTCCTCTTACACGCCTGCCAAAGATGACAAATGCATCTCTTCAGCATTCAAACCCTCCGTAGAAAAGTGGAAGCAAGACAGAGTATGCAGGCCTGAGATGAACTGTCCAACTGCTGCTAGCTGCACACTCCTACCGCAACATGAACCCAGAGGTAGGTCTAAACACGTGGGGTGTCCCTCAGAGAGTACCAAAAGCAAGCTTTATTGATACTAGGACCAAAGCACATAGGAAGAACTACAGAACCTGCTTTCAGTGCAGCTTACTGTGACGAGCAAAAATGTTTACCCAGTGAATTATATTGTTAAAACTATATATATGTGTGTGTACGTGTGGTACTACTTTGAGAAGTATTCATAGGAAGTGTAAGCCAGAAGCAACTGGCTTGCAACATCCAGGGAATTCCTGAGAACACAGTATGTGATTTCTAGGACCTGTATCAGCTGTAGAAGCCTCATCGTTTGGGAAGGTGACAGCCACCTTGTGCTTTTCTACAGGGAAGCAAATGTGTTGTAGGGACCAGCTGTTACATGATCAACTGCTTCAGGTTTTTAGTTTCATGCCCAATACAAAAATTAAGACATTGTAATTCAAGAAGTGAATCTCCTTAATCAGGCCTCTTGTACATAGAGTAATGCAGATGGGTTTGTAGAACATGTAGTTGCTGTCACTATGGCGGGGAAAAGATTGGGTCAGATCTTCAGAAGGAGTAGGAGATGGCAGCTTTGTTACATCTCTGGGGGAGGCATGCAAGCATGGGCTGCAAATCCAGCTCTAGCTGAGTTCCATAAGCTCCCATGTTACAGAGGTGGGTTTTCCTCATTACACCGGGGGGAATTTTGAGCTTAATATTCTCAGCAGTGGAAGTAATTTCCTTCAGAATTCCTGAGAAAACACCGTGCTGTTTTCCCTTTGCGTTTTCCCCAATTATTCATTACACACATTGAAAGCTCTCTCTGTGTTGTGAGGCAGTTCTCATCTGTGCTGATACAGCAACCCGAGCGCTGCCCGCTGCTGTGCTGGGTCACTTAGACTGGAGTGGACACGAAGTGTTAGCATTAGACTTAAACCTGCATCTTCCAGAGGTGACCAGAGGCAAAGCTCTGCACTGAGAACTCTACCAGAAGAGCAGGGAAGAGAGTAAACCCCAGAACTTCATACATGCCCCGATTCGTAGACATTTAATGAGAGCATATAACAACAAACCAACCCCGCTCAATGATCTCAACTATCAGCCCTACGCACAACGGACCCTTAAATCCCCGGCTGTTTTAGTTGAACACAGGGCACGCTAAATGCTATTTGAGTTTTGCAGTTCAGCTACGTGCCAGCAGAGCTTACCATCCCGAGACATCCCCACAGCAAGGCATTTCTGTAGCCGACAGTGCTGGCAGCGGTTTCGACTGGTCCGGTCAATCAGACAGTTCTTCTGCCGGGGACAGGAGTAGGTGGCATTGCTCTGCTGACTCCTCCTGAAAAAGCCCTGTAACGATTGCAAAACACGAGTCAAGAAGCTGTCAACTGATGGAGCAAAGAAAGTCTCCAAAAGGCAGCACACCAACGGACAATGATGTTCAAGCGCGCTACGGCCACCTGAGGGTTTGGCTGGTTTTTTCCCTCTCTCCTAGAAACAAAGCAGCCCCAGGACGCAGTAGGGAACAGTTCATTAAAAAGTGTTGTGACATACAGAGGAAGTACACGTTTTTTCACTGATTTTACAGACCCCACATTACATGTGATGCACCAATTCTTTCCAAATGAGATCAAACTTATCAGAGACCTAGATTTCCTGTCTTCCCTGGGTCAGCGCAGACCTCCGAAACAGGGAGGATCCAAGAGCCCTGTTCTTTGGAGACGTCAGTGGCAGGCTCTGGTGCTCAGCCTCCCCCACGGATGTCTGTGTTTAGCACAGCGCGTGATGCCGAGCGGGGCCTTCCACAAAGAACAAGCTTTAACGATGTTTTTTCTTAATTAGTTTGATGTTGGTAGGTTTGAGGTTTTGTTCAGCTCAGCACAAGGTTGAGATCTGGTAGGAGGGAGGAAGCTGTAACAGATCTTACGTGTTATCTCTTTTCTGAGTCAAGTGCAACGGGCAGACCCCCTTCCCAGCAAAGCGAGTGCTGCAAGGTTGGCAGCAGTCACAACTTGGATCCCTCCGGCAGGACCGTGTGTGTTGGTAAAGCAGGATGACAGCTGTTTGCTTTGAAGTACATGTCATGTTTTGGCCGCAGACTGCTCAAACAGAAGTTGGTGAGTGTGTAATACCTGCTTCACAAGGATGCTGCAGAAACGGAGTCATTCCAGCAGCGCTTTAGTTTTATGTTGCCACATAATGGATTAATTAACAGTGCTGCGCAGAAAACACTTCCTCAGAAACACTGGGCACCTTGTAATTAAAGCTGGACTTTTCCCAGCTCTTTCTTTATTCGAAGGCCCCATCCTGGAGTCCCTCAGCACACGTAGGTTCTGTCCAAGGAACTGGTGAACTAAAACAACAGGAAAAGACTTCCCAGCAAATTTCCCTCAGGCAGAACCACAGCAGGGCACAGCTAAAGACCCCTGCTCCGTTGGATGAGGACTTCATTGATTATGCTCCTTTCAGTAAAGCTTTAATGAGGAACCACGGAGTATATAAAAAATGAGGAAACGGAAGATGCCCGTCTTTTATCCTGTTTTCCTGTGCATCGTTTCTCATCCATTTATTCTGGTCTCTTGTCTCTATAGGATTGAACTTCCTGAACTGTTTTTTAATGTCTATCAATAGCGAGATGATCATCATTGAGACTGAAAGTATTGCACTGACTGAGCTCTGATGGAGTGAAAACCTGGAACACCATGGAAATTTCTACCATTCCAGCACCGTGACTGATCCCCCCTGGAGGAACCAACTCATAGGTAAGTAGACAGCTTAATTTCCAGCTCTGGAGCCTGTCACTCCAGTGCAAGTAAGTGGGATTCACCAGCAGAACAGTGGTCGGTATCGACCTGACCTGTGATGTCCTGACCAAAGTTCTGCATCTCCACACTATCAGTCCGTGATAATTTCAGCTCTCCAAACACTCTAACAGTTGCACTGAAGGACGTGCTCACACACGAACGGTATGAAATCTGCCACCACTGAGGTCCTGAAAGTCAGCTTAATCAACGTGGAAAATGAACGTTGGCTCAACCACCTCAAAGATCTATACGTTTTCCTTTAGCTGAGACATATACTGAGTCTGCGTTGCCAGTCTGGCGTATCTCTCTCCATCAGGAATGGTCTTGTCAAGCTGAGGATTATTTTTAGTAGTATAATGAAGAAAATACCTGGCTTTTTGCTTTTCCACATTTTCCCTAGAGACACAGCTGCTCAATACATCTTAGTGTACAATATATCTTTTAAGTGACAGCTTGAAGCTAAATTTTCAATAGAGCAGGACTGCCTGAAACTGGGTTCTTTAAAAGCACTTGCACTTGACAAACCAGAGATGTAGTACAGTGCTTTTAAAAACAAACCCTACACTGTTATCCGGGCATGTTGAAAACAGCAGCAGAAGCTAAAGCAAAAAACCCCCTTGCCTCAAACTCCAGAAATGAAACTGAGCTTGTCCAGAGCTCAGACATGCCCATATCTAATTCGGGATTGAACTGCCAGTAGTGTTAAACTGAGGGTTTTTTTACTCTCAAAGTTCTTCCATACTATTATCATTTGCCTGGGAGTTTTCTACCCTTGGGCTCCCCTATCATCGTAGGATGTGGGGAAGCGCCTATTACGAGAGCCTTCTGTAAGTAAATAGAGTTTCTTCATCAGTTGGGCTTTTCCCCCTTCATTAGGAGAAGGAGAGACGCCGCATTCTGTTCTTCTGTTCCCTGGCTTTTGCCAGAGGCACAGAGCTAGCTATAATTTTTGCACCAGGAAGGAGGAGGTGGATGCATGCCTGGTACACGTGTCTACATCCAAGCATTATGCAAACCAGCCCAGGCCGCATGCTTTCGATGGCATGCATGTTGACAACCATTACTTCACATGCAGGCGGTTGCCTAATGGGCCGCGGGCAGAGCAGACCCCTCTGGATCCAGCACAGGAACAGAACTGCTGCTGCACTCCAGAAGCCACCGTGGGACACGGCTCTGAGCGACGGCTCTGGCAGCGAGCGCGGAGCCCTGCCTCCTCCTGATGGCAGCACAAAGATCCAGCTGATTCTGATGAGGCCTCATTGAGCTTTGCATGTCTCCCTTTTTATGTAGATGTATTAGCCCGGTGCCAGAAGAAGAGCAGAGCAGATTACAAGCCATAGCTTCATCTCTGCGTTTCAGGCTCCTATTTATACACAACACAATATACGGGTTTTCAGATGCTGCCAAGAAATCAAGTTTGGGAAAAAAGGGCGCAAGAACTTTTCATCTGCAAGTCAGTTTGAATAACAACTTGTTAAAAAAGAACTTTGAAATGTAAATAGCAGTTTCTGCAGAGTCTCTCAGTGGTTGCAGTAACCTCAGTGCTCAGTATTGCAGAGGTCTGTGTGCTCCGCAGCAGGGAGAAGCCTGCTGTGCTTCCCAAGGTCCCAGCCGCCAGAGCCCCGGCTCCCTCTCCACTGCGGCACAGGCTGAAACGCTGATCTCATGTTTGGTCTTTTGACAAATTTTCCTTTAATGAATTGATTCCTACAGTTCATTACCATACCCACTTCCACTTCTGTATACACATATGTCTTAATTAGCTGCTCATTGGCTGGTTAATTACAAGAAAACAGCTGACAGCTGCCTCACTGCATCCTAATGGCAGACGTTTTGGAATGACTGTATGCAAGCCAGTGACAACAAAGGCTTTTTCATAATCCCATGATTTATGGCTAATACTTACAGACTTCCACGTATCATTAAGTTTTGCAATATTCTGAGCAATTAACAATTAGTTGGGGGGGGGGATCATTCTTTTACTGTTTTCTAAAGCAAACCATCAAAGAAACGCCAGAAAAATACACTGTCATATGAAAGACACATCAGCTTTTTAACCCTTTTAAGACAATGAGCAGATTAGTTGTAAAGGGAGAAGAGTGCTGCAACAACACTGTTTAAAACCTTGGTTAATGAAGTTCTTGACAACAAAGTTACAGAGGCACTGAAACAGAGAAAAAATGTTCACTTTTTCAGATGTATTAAAGACAGGAGTGAGGTTGTGTTCAG